ATCAGTTTTAATGAAACGTTTTAAAATTACTAAAAAGAAAGAAAAGAACTTTATTAAGCAAATTCAACAATTCGCATTTCCAATGACTTCTTCCTTCCCAACTAAGTGCAACAAAAGAAGATCTAAATAAAGCTACAGAAGATTTTTATAAAAAAAATCCAAGAAATATGTGAAAATACCTTTCCAATACGATCTGCAAAACCTTACTTTCATATAAATTGGTGGACTAAAGAGTTACGACGCGCTCAAAAGCATAAGGCGAGAGCATTGAAACGGAAAATGAAATCGATTACTGACGATGAATTAAGACCCCAAGCCTGGCTCAAATTCAAAAAAGAAAATGCAAACTACAAAAAGATGATTCTCGAATCTAAATTAAAAAGTTGGCACAAATATTGTTCAACAATAAAGAAATTTATGGCACCTTATACAAGATCGCCAGTAGTAAAATATTTAAACCGTCACAAATCCAACTTCCCTCAAATTTGCTTTCAAGTTCTGCTGAAATTCAGGATGCCACTCTCTCAACCCTAAATGAGATTCTTGACTCTGTCTTTCTAAAAGATGATCCAGCTGAAGATTCGCCTACTCAAACCAGAATCCGTAACTGCGATGACATTCCACAAACAGACAACGATATTCCGTTCTCTCAAACAAGAAATAAAGCAAATAATTAAAAACCTAACTTTAAAAAAAGGCACCAGGCCCAGATGGCATCGATAACCACATTATAAAATTAATCCATCAAGCCCATCCTGACATAATCTGTAGTTTTTGCAATCGATGTATAGAACTCTCTACCTTTCCTGATTGCCTGAAAATTGGTAATATAATACTCTCCAATAAGAAGAATAAAAGCTCCGATGAACCTAAATCTTATCGCCCGATAAATCTTCTCCCAGCCCTGGGAAAAGTTTTGGAAAGATGTCTTATTGGTCGTCTAAAATTTCATGTTTACAGCAAAAACTTAATAAGCAATAACCAGTTTGGATTTCGAAGCCTACTTTCAACAAGCCATACAATTAATGCAGCTCTTGAACAAGTCAGAAACAATAAAATCAACCAACTTCATTCTGCAATAATATGTCTCGACTTAAAATCAGCTTTTGATTCTTTATGGTGGCCAGCAGTTTTACAAGCGCTGCGTTCTTTTAAGTGCCCTCAAAATTTATTTCTAATTATTCAAGATTACTTCAGAAACAAAAAAAGTATGATTCTTTACAACAACACTGAAATTGTGCGTAATCAAGTCCGAGGATGTCCTCAGGGGTCTTGCATGAGTGCAGATCTCTGGAATATCAGCTTCAACAACATCATTGCCTATCCATGGCCAGATCACTCAAAAATTGTAGCTTTTGCAGATGATGTAGCTTTTATTACAAGTGGCCGTACCAGAGACATTTTACAGAATAATTGCAATGAAACACTCCAGTTATTTAACCAACTTTGCAAAATTCAAAAACTACAAATTTCACATAGTAAGTCCCAAGTCTTAGTGATCCATAAACCAGGACAAAATATAACTAAAGCTTTAGCTCTAAAAATTGACAATCAAAAGATCAAATCTGTGAACACAATCAAGTACCTCGGTTTAACAATCGACAAGAAAATTCTCCTGGATTCCTCATCTACAAAATATTAAACTTCGTACAACATCAATAGCTAACTGCCTACGACGTATGCATGGATATAACTGGGAATGCATGGATTAAATCCCGCATATAACACGTATTCTTCTAAAAACAGTCATCTCAAAAATGGTAAATTACGGAGCCGGAATTTGGGCACAACCAATGACAGTAAGAAAGATTAAATGTTTAAATTCAATTCAAAGGCCTTTTACTCTTTGCATTACTCGGGCGTATCAGCACAACTTCAAATATAGCACTTGATACTCTAGCTGGTACTCTTCCGTTATCAATCAGTGCAGAAATGGAAATGCACCTGTACGAAAGTCCTTCCAACTTAACCAAGCCGCAGAATTTCAACAACCAAACCTTTGGCCATCCAATTATGAAAAGAAATTAACCCCAATCTTATCCATCCAGCGCTTCACTTCAGCAAAATAATATTCACCACGTCTGAAGAAAATTCAAGTTCATCTCCAATTGCTTATACTGATGGATCAAAAATTGAAGGAAAAGTTGGTTCCGCAATCTTTTTTTCAAATTACCCCCCTCAAATATCATCAAATGGAAAGGCCATCTCCATAATAATAATAGTGTTTTCCAAGCGGAATTGTCAGCTATAAAAGCAGCGATTGAAATAGCCATTCTCAAAAATCTCAACGAATTTAGCATAAAATCTGACTCCCAAGCAGCTATTGTAGCTATTAAAAATCCCTTACCTTCCTCTCCATTGATATCCGACATAAATTCTCTTCTTGGAAAAATCCCATACTACAAAATTCAAATCTCATGGATCAAAGGACATAGTGGCCATTTTGGTAATCATCAGGCAGATGAATTAGCCAAAGAAGCAGCTATTAATCAAGATGGTACTGAAATCATCATTCCGTGGCCTCGCTCGAATTTCAAGTACCAACTAAAACAACTTGCTTCAAAATCTTGGCAAGATTTGTGGAACAATGCTCCACAGGGAAGACACACATATAACTTGATGCCCAATGTAAGCTTAGCGTCTCTGAACTCGAATCCTTCCCTAAATTACTTTATAACAGGACATGGACCCTTCCCCACATATTTCTACGCAAGAAATTTGGCAAACTCTGACATCTGCATATGTGGGGAACAGGGAACTCCTGATCACTACGTTTTCTCATGCCCCTTAACTGAGGATATTCACATAAAATTCCCAAGAATTGACCTCCTGGCATTCCAAAGATTTTTAATTAAAGATAAACATCAATATCCAAAGTTTCAGAAAATTATGCAACGACTCTCTCTCTTGCCTACGGCCTAGATCTCTGTCAAGTGTAATCCACATACAGTTTAAACTTGGTGAACTTTTACATGCTGTAATTATGGACAAAATGGATCCGCTCGTGAACTGAACTTTATAAACTGCAATAAACCAATATATCTGAAATAACCCATGGACACCCCACCTCTTTAGCATTATTATAACAATTCATTTAACATTGTGTTGCCAGTACTAATTATAATTATCTCATTATGTTTATTTGTTTATTAATTATGTTTATCTCCTATTTTGTTGCACCAAATCAGATGTTCAATTTATCTTGTGAATCTCAAATTGTATTCCTACTATTTTGTAATCTACTTATGCCCTACACCATTATTTTTAATAAATACTGGATGCGGGGCGTACTGTGGAATTGCACGATGTACCATAATAGGCAAACTTTAGACCTTTTGAAAAGCTTCAGTTTTATGCAAATTCTTATAAAACTTGCAATTACCCCCCCCCCCCTTTTTTTTTCTTTTTTTTTTTTTTTTTTTTTTTTTTTTTTTCTCAAAGAGTTAGTATGGGAAGGCATTACCAGTTGACCTATGGTACATCGCTGGTGTCCCCCATACTTTTACCTTTACCTCTCTTATTTCGTTATAAATTTTTTTTTATATAAAAAAGAAGTCTATTGCTTGGTTCCGGATTAACTGTGTATCGGAAATTCTGTGCGCGAAACTGTGTATCGGAAATTCTAAAAATATGCTCATTCTTAAATTTTTTTGCGATGTTGCTGTTGAGCTGAATTTTATGGTTTAGGGAGAAGAACATGATATTTAATAAAGGTAACACAAAAAAAAACTTTAAAAAACGACCCTTTGAGCGTAATGTAAAATCTGAAAACTTTGAGAATTTTTTTTTTTAATATTTATTTTTCAGAAGGTGGCAGAGGGTTCCAAAAACAAGGTGTAATGTTACAGATTCCTTGAATGCACAGAGTTTGAAAACTACTGGATTCATGGATTCCTGTAGTTATTAAAATAAGTTTGGACCATTCTTGATATATAAACTTTCATCCTATACTAAGCATTACATTAAAAATCAAATTCGTTTTAAATTCCTTTCTACTTTAAGGTCACAAGTATGGCAACCGTTACACCGTTTGCACCTTCAGCCAAACTTTCCCTTCCGTGGTAATCCAAGCAAGGGCGAGTGTTGGCAGACCAGGTATTCAATACCGAAATCCTATTACGAAGTCACAATTTTGCTTAGCAATATGCATAGGAAAACAAGAGTGTAACAAATTTTACGGTGATATTTAACATTAAGAAAAGGTTAGTGGTCAGTTCATAGTTAATAGTCATTTGAGTAATTTAAAATGTTCACATTCAATAGCTATCATATTGTCGGTAGTTTATAGCAGTGTATAGTTCTTATAAATTCGTATGATCAATAATATATATGGTCATATACTATACTAGTGTACACCTCATATAGTAAATAATCAAATATTATAATATTATTCAATTATAATATTATTCAGTAATCACATACTCTAGTAATATTAATTTATTTCTACCACTCATTCATTCAATTTTAAATCAGAGGTAACAATAATTAGAAAAATATTTAATTTTGTTAAATCTCCTCTGCGCATTTTGTGTTGCTCTTTTAAATGAATAAATATTTAAAATATTTACATAAAGCCGACAGTGCATTTAAAGTATGAGAAGTTCTATTTTATGCATATTTTTAAGCAAAAGACATATTTTACATAGAATATTTTTATCATTAATGTGTCTTTCGTATAACAGAAAATCTAATCTAATCGTAGAATTTTATTTGATAGAATTGGTAATTTTTTATTTTCATAGACCGTGATAAATCCATAGCTTCTCTGTCACACGAAGTATAGAGTTATATAGCCTCTGGTTGCACAACACTTCGGAAACAAAATGTGCATTGGCAACGCAAAAGGATAAATATTCTAAAAGAGTAAAATTAAATGTTCCTAAAAATAGTAGCAATTTTTTAATAGACAAAGAACTTTCCAAATCAGTGAATGGACCATACGAAAGTAATAACAATAAAAAAAACCATTACCAATAAGGGAATTGCACAAATTTACTTACCAAGCTACCGAAACCCATATTCGTTATTTGGTATTCCTTATCTTTCTCCGGGAATGTGAATCAAACGATAGCCTCCCGTAGAAGAAGCAAAGAATTGAAAAAAGGTCCGGCTTTATGCTCTCCTGGTTATTGGCTCTGCTTTCTAAATATAGGCCACGGCGTGGTTAGTGCGCGTATCCACCAACTGTGAACCGGGATGACGCTTGAATAAGTCAAAAGACGATTTAGAAGAAGAAAAAAGAACTTTTGAGGAAAATGCCCTGTTTTTAATACCTACATTTCCTATGCAAAATTCCGCAAGTAAAACCTCCGATCAAAAACTTAAATGTTTTCAATTCAATCGTTTCTCAACTTCCCGTACATTTTTCGCAGAAAACATTAAAAAAAATGTGAGAATTTTATACATTAAACAGAAATTGTAAGTTGAAAATAATTGTAAGTAAATTGAAATTGTAAGTTACCTTCCCAGCCATTCATTCAAAGTGGCTAAGAGCGATTTGTTTCGCATCATAGCTTAAGATTTCGAGAACTTTTTTTTTTTTTTTTTTTTTTTTTTTTTTCATAAGTCTGAAGTATTCGCAGAGTCATTTACTTCCCTCGCTTTAGGATACAGCTTTCACTGGGAAATAAGCTTCATATACTCAGAGGTTAAATGAACGCTCCATTGAGTAAAATTACTAGACGAGTGTCTGAAATAGAAAGTTTCCCCTCTTATGCCTGCAAGGGGGCTGAGAATATTTAAAGAGATACGGTAGATATAGTGAATGTTTAGGACTGTATTAGTAAAAAACGGTACGAAATTCTGAAATTTCACCTTTCCTTTTTGTTTCCTTAATTACCCTGTTTCGCATTTTAAAACTTTTCTTTTTCCCGTTTCTATAATTTTATTGTTTCTTATAGACGCCTATCTGCTGAATATTTATTTTTCATTATCAACCGCTAGTTCAGACACAGAGTTGTACAGAGTCATAATATTAAAAATTATGGAAAATTAAATCATTAAAAATGAGAGTTGAATTACTTTTAAATGCAAACACATTTCAGTTACCTAATTTATAGTGGTTTTAACTGTACTCGTTTTACATAAAAACAAACTGTGAAAAACAGTGCCTTTATTTTAATTCCTTTCTGAATTATCCGGAAAAAGTGTTATTTTCGTTATGCAAATCTCCTGTCCTGGCAAAATAAAAAGATTTGAAACATCACTTTTGTTGCAAACCTCATGCGCAAGTGATCGACTAAAACAACTGTACAGGAGTCTCTTGCGTAATTAAGCTTCTTCCTTACTAAATAAGTGCAAAACTCTCCACGATACGAGATATATGTATACTATATCGCGATATAAGAAGAAAGAAAGAAAGTAAATAATGAAAAATCTGCATAAATGTATGTACTCGCATTGTGATAAAACAACGGTACATAGAGCCACCGAATTTTCACTGACATAATCCTATTGCGAATATGGGCGGGCATGTGGAAGCCCAAATTTGAAATTTGGAATTTGTTTTATTATCGATTTCAGGCTCACCAGCGCCGAGCGGTAAAGTCGCTGAACACTGGTAGTTCTTTCCGAGGTTCGAATCCCGCGAACGGGCTGGCTGCATGGGCGTTTACGTGGTATTTTCCCATGTGTAACATGTATACGAGCCAGTTTCTCTTAGAAAGTCCTCCACGAAGGCATCCCTCCCATTAGGCAGATAGCCCTCGAGGCTTTACCATAATCACACACACATTATCGACTTCATATTTTGTAAAACTTTAACGAATTTTACTAACGAACTCAAGGATTTCAAAGCGAGCCAGGGCAACGTTGTACAGAAAAAACATTTTTATCTCCAGCGCGCGAGTCTCTGCATCGCAAATTCTAAAGATACGCTCATTTTAAAACTGTTTTGCGATATTGCTGTTGAATTGAATTTTATGGTTTAAGTGCAAGGAACGTGATATTTAATAAATAAATGTAACGGACAAAATGTTAAAAAAACGCCCGTTTGTACGTGATTTAAAATCTGAAACAATTCAAATTTTCTTTACAGTGCTTTCAGATTACCTTTTCTTCGATTTAAGTAATAATATAACATGGTGCAGAATTTAACAACAATTAGTCATGTTATTAGAGTTATAAGGTATTTCTCCCGCCTTCCTAACGTGCCTTAAAAGTGTAGTGGTTCTGCACGCTCGGCCGGTATTCCAGAGGTCCGTGGTTCGATTCTCGGCGAAGGCGGTTGCTAATTTTTCATCTTGCCTGCTTCCAAAAATCCTAATGTCTCTACAGAGTTTTCATCTTCCTGTGTAGCTACATGAATAATATCTTGAAGAAGTTTTCCTCTAGTTTATCTACAGGAGCTTCTAATCCGTTATAAATAAAAATGAGAGCGGAAGAGATGCAGCAGCTTCGGCAAAATATTGCTACGTAAAGATGTATAAGATCATGTTGTTCATATCTTCCAGTTAAGGTTTTTATGCCTTTAGTAAATCTGCATGCAATATTTGTGGAGATATCAACAATTTAAAAGTTGTTTAAGTGCAGATAAGCCTAATTAATTTTGGGATGGCGGACACGTTTGTTTGCATTTCAAACTTCACAAAATAGTGGATTTGTTGCCAATGTAGAGAAACTAAGCTTCGCAACAACAAAGATAACGCCTTCTTTTATTGTTGCGAATTAAATCATGTTTAACCCATTCTGGAATTTATTCGAGGAAATATGCGTCTAAGATTTACTTCGTAATTTTTAATATAGATATTTTGAGTTTTTATGTACTTTTGCCTTGTCGCTAAGTGAGAACTGATTTAATTGAATGAGAAATACTAAATTGTCTGTGGAAAACTGTTTCTTTTTTGTTTCGTTTGCTTAATTTCTTTTATACATTGTTTTAGATTTATTATAGTATTTGAATAAAACATGGGCAGCGATTAGATAATTCTTCAAATGATATAAATTCATATGCATTCTGGGTTATAATATAAACGCTGTTAAGTGAACCTAGCTCCAGTGTGTCGCTATTAAAAAAAAATATATAGTGAATTCTAAAGAGTGCATTTATTTTATTATGGTTTATGCGCTATCGACGAAGTAGATTTAATTCAATCCAATAAGTATAAGTGAAATGTAAGAAAAAAGTGCGTATAATTTAATATTCCGTGCAAGGAAGTCATGTGTTACACATCAGAATTTTTTTAATATGTTGCTTTTTGTGTAAGATTTTCTACTGTTAGACTGATTTTCTAGAAATATCGATATTCAGAGACTCATTTTTTCTGTGGAGGTCTGTTTGCTATGACGTCCCTTACTGATACATTCTAAAATAAAAGTCAACAATCCTAACATCGTCTTTTAGACATGAGTACAAAAGTATAAATAAAAAGTTGTTGTTGTTATTTTGAAGCAGGAGACATGAAAAACGAGCAATGCCCTCACCAGGACTCGAACCTTGACCTCTCGAAAACGCGCCGAATGTGCTACCGTTACACCACGAAGGCATGCAGAAAGGAGGGGGAAAATACCTTATAAAGTAAAAAAATAAAACTAGCCTTGATGCGTCCAATTCATTGCTTCCTAAATCTCTTCAGTGGAGCGCAAAGATAAATGATCATAAACTATCATCTGTTTAAAGTTAGTGAAATGAAACGTTAAGTGACATTTTAAATCGTTTATCAGCAAATAAAATGCAGCTGGATTTCCTTTCATCTTTCCTCTCATTTCAAAGGCTATATGATAATTTCGTTTTGAGGAGAAACTGCACTTAAAACAGTTTTGCTTTTTAAACAAGAAATTTTTTGCATATACATTTTATAACATCACTTTGCAAATAGTACAGTATGTTAAAAATTTCAAATTTTTAAAAATTCAATTTTCCAGAAACAAAAACTGAAATTTTTTTAAAGTTGAAAATGCTCTTTGCATTCTAATTTCCAATGTTTTATTCTGACAATTACATTAATATTTTAAAACGTTTTGTCAAAAATGTTTGGATATCCGTTTATGAAGCTATACGCGATGTAGAAATTTAAGATGACATAATACGGAATTAATTTCCAGATATGGCGCAGTTTCAAAAAAGTTATTATTTTTAGAACACTTTAAAGTTACTTTTTTAGAATAATTAATTAAAAATAAGAAGTAAAGGGCTACTGCTGATTTAAAGTATAATTAAAAATCTACATAGTTTTATCTTATATATAAAAAACTTAAATTTATAATCTATTAGAAGTGGAGTAAACCATCCCAGAAAGATCAAAAAATTGTCTAAAGAAACCTATTACATTTTAAAATTATGAAGTAAAATTAAAGATGAATCCTTACTATTTTTGAAAGAAATTTTTATAATTTATTTAAAGTAGATTTATCAACAGTGTAAATTTATAATACATTATCGATTATTGATATTTTAATGTTCTAGACCTTCTTCTGAAAGGGTAATAAACCAAAGCATCAAAACCTGAGTAATCCAACAGAACTATATCACGTTTCGTTTCACATCGCCTTTTGGACATGTAATAAAATAAAATATACAATAATATGAAATAGAAATTTTAAAAAAAATTAAGTAGAAAAATTATATACATTATTTACACCCCATACTAAGAAAGTATGCGATTACCCCTACGTGATAGTCTTTTACAAATTAATCTTTAGAGTATAATTTTAAAATAAAAATCACCGTGAAAATATATATTACAATTGTAAAAAATCTAGTACACGTCAGTTTATACTGAAAATACAGCGGTCGATTTAACCGAAGAATTTAAACTTACTAGATATTTCACACATAACAAATTTTCCAATGATTGTGTTGTAAAAAGAATTATAGCAGATTACTAAACTCTTTTAAATTCATTTCAGACTAATAATAGAGAGCGTAAATGCAAACTTTCTTGTAGTTAATAAAGAAATAAAAGAAATTTAAAAAAAAAAGATCTGAAAGCTTTCAGATTTTATATTGCGCCCAAAAGGTGTTTCTTAACGTTTTGTGCGTTATCTTTATTGATTAAATATCATGTTCTTCGCACTTAAACAATAAAATTCAATTCAATACCAATATCACAAATTATTTAAAAAGAGCGTATCTTTAGAATTTTCGATAGACAGTCTCGCATGCTGGAGATAATTTTTTTTTTCGTATAGTGTTGCCATTGCTCGATTTTAAAT